TTGTGGTGTGAAGGGGAAAAGTATTAACGATCAATGATGTCAAAAATAAGCAGGTTGGACTGGCGACCATAAGCATCCCCGATTTCATGCTTTATTTATACAGTTGTGGCTTATATACAAAGGGTTTTTTATTGCCAAATATTGTAGCGATCTGAGGTGTCAAAGAAGATTTGGATTTCCACCTGAAAATTGTCAATTACTATATAATTAGATGATAATTGTTTATAGATTACCGATTTCTTAACAATGAGTAAAAAATCTCATGCCAATATTTCCGATCAACAAATAATTACAAACTACTATTGATTATGATTATGACCTATCAAGGATATATGATGATGTAAGGGTCAACTTTTTTTTTAAAGCTAAAAAAAAAAAAAAAAGCTCTTTGTGTGGCGGACAACTGCCAATCCGGGAAATCTTTTTTTTTTTTTTACCTTGATCTCAACACCGGGAACTGTCTTTCTTTTTCAAGTTTTGGTGAAGTCTCACTTTGGTGTTATTAAAAAAACAAATATAAATCACAAGACTCTGTCCTCTTTCTCACGATTCTCATGACACGAGCTGTTACGGTTAGAAAAGGCTGGATCAGATAAATACCGTGCATCTTGCTAAATATAATCTCCGAATATCTGTTCTCATTTACCGACTTTACTAGTTTCGCGTACGCTTCTTTTTATGGCTCTCGCGTTCGTGTTGACCTCGTCTTGAGACATCATATTAAACCCATCGTTTTCCCAGCCAATCAGGATTACGTGTGAATTCGCCGGATTCCTGTCGCTGAATTCTCGCACGAAAACCTGTTAAGTGAGTATGGTGTCGTCTGTAAAGTGCGCAGGTTAGTCGAAAAAAAATCATTCCGAGTCTGTAAAGATTCGGAAATAATGCTACAAAAAAAAAAAAAAAGATATGTTGAATGGATTTCTTCTTTTGGTAGTACCGAGAAACGTTTCAGGGTATTCTATCTTTTTACGTTATCATCATTATGTTATAATTTTTTGACATAAGTGGTCAAAACGTCAACTCTTAAAAATATGTATTAGCTTTACGTCATACGTAACGCAACGCCACGATTTTCAATGCAGATGCAACCATGATATTTCGAGTTTTTTTTTTTTTTATTACTACACTATTCATAGTATCCACTATAACAATTTATAAATTTATACGTGTATATTTGTAATTAATTAAAATGATAAAGTTATCAAATTAAATCTAATTGATTCGTGACGGGCGTTATGGAGCGAAATCGATTGGTTCGGCACACTTTTTTTTTTATTCTTATTCTTATTTCATGCTAAAAAAAGCTCATTATTATATGAGTGCTGCCAAATGAAAATTTGGGGAAGTATAAAAATATTTTCTTATTATACGCTTTCAGGTTTTTTTTTTATTTCTGCAGCACCTCGTGTATAAACGACATATGGTGTATGCTAATTATGCCAACACGCGTGAAATCTATTTTATATAAAGTTAACATGGAATGATTTTTTGACCGTTTCTCAAAAAAAAAAAAAAATTTAAGGATAATTTTTTTCATTTAATAATAAATCTTTTGATACGATAGGGTAATTCACAAATATTAACAAATACGGTATATTTGTTTTTTTTTAAAATCAACAAAAAAAGAAATTTCTCAAATATATTAACTAACTACTACTGTAGAATTCTAGAATTCTAGAATTGCATGTCTATTTTTTTTTTTTTTAATTTCATTTTATCGATGCTTTTTACGGTATATAGAAAATAGTGCATGACATTTTTAACTTTTAATTTAAAAACATAATAAATCTTAAATCTTCTTTTAATATTTATTCATTTTATAATATATAAAATTATATTATTTTATATAAAAACTTTTTCATTAATATAAAAACTTTTTTTTTTAATATTTCTTAAATACAAAAAAAAAACTCTTTCCTGAAAAATCACAAATTTTCAAAAATTTTCTTTTTTGGAAATTCATAAAAAAAACATTCCAAGAAACACCAAAAAAATACCTAAGGAAAACCTTCATCAAAAAAAACACTGCATTGTTATCTTTTAAAACTTAAGGAGAACATACAGTATATAGCAGATATTACTAAATTTAAAAGAATATTAACTCTTTGCTTTTATTTCAATACAAATAAATATATACTTGTTTTTTTTTACTGAAAAGAAGAAAAAAACAAGAAACACAATTTATAGTAAAATAAAGGAAAAAATCAGCATCATACTTCACAAGCTATTAGCCAATCGTGTATTAGGTTAGATATCTCCTTAGACATCAATAGGACCTTGTATCAGCCAAATCACATCCGATAAACCAGGCAACCTTGTCACTAACACAAAACCAGAGGGATACCAAGACTTTCTCAACACTGTGTTTAGAAAAAAAGCAAAAGATCAAATAAAATTTATACTATAAACAACAATCATCACATAAATTGATCTATATTGGAATCAAAAATCAAAACCATTTTACCCCTATCAAAAGATCAGCAGTAACATGAACATATGTACATATTTTTCTACAAATCAAAACAAGAAAACAAATATGTTTGTTTACAGAGTTGAAAATTAAGGTTCAGCTATATTTCATATCTAAAATAACAACAAACAAACAAATAGAACAACAATCTAATTAAAAAAAGCATGTGTCACAGAAAACAACAAATAAACAACACAAGATAGCATGTGTAATGCAATTATATAAAACCAACACAATGGCAGAAACATTTGCAATTTTATTGGAGGATTAAATAATAGATCATCTCAGAACACTAAAAGATAACCATAATAAAAAAGATCAGAAATGGCTTCGTACTCTTATAGAAAATAGATCAACTAATACCTTATCTGAAATTTTAAATCTGGAAGCACTTATAAATATCATAGTTATCGATACTGTTGCTGCAAGGCTCCTTAACATTGACTCAAAAATAGTAATCAAATAGGCTCTAGCTAAGAAATACATCAAACAAATATGGGAATTTAATCAACAAGATATAAGTATTCTGAACAAATTCTTAATCAAAGATTCCAACAAGTTGCTCAAATCTTAAGCATACTCCAACCAACACAAGGCAACTCAGAACAATATAATATTGAATAAGCCCAAATGATATATAACAGTATAAACCAAGAATCACTAAATATAGGTCAACAAATTCCAGAAGTAGAAATGAAAGACCAAGCTAAAGAGGACTCTATTATAGTAAAGAAAATACAGATCCCAGAAATAACTATAGAGGAATAACAACCTTTAAAAAAAGATATAGATACTAATACCTCCATCTCAACTCCAAACCTAGATATTAAAATGATATCAGATTATGTAACAAGAAACAGACAGTATCAATCAACAAATCCCTTCTATATCTATAAAAAAGGGTCTTATAAAGCTGGAGTAATGATAGCAAACACATCAGGAGACAGCAAACCTGAACAAATTAAATACCTGGCCAATATATTCAAACTTTCAGAAGATAAACAACACCTTATTCAATCTGATTTTTTCAATGGTAATGAATGGTATACTATTTGCTTTGAATATGAGAAAGATTTAACAACATACATAAACAAAGTCAACTCAAAGAACAAAGAAAATTTTTGCTTGATTCAAATACAAATTCAGAAATATTTAACTAAAAAAACAAAAGAGAGTAGAATAAAAAATTCCAATAAGAATAATAGCTTCAATCAAGAAAAAGCTATACATAATACTATTAACTACTTCAATCTGATGAATCATTTAAGAAAGTTCAGTTAAGAATCAAAGGCAATTTATTTTCATATACTAGTAGAGAAGAATAACTGCAATACATAACTAAAAAGCTAGGTATACCACTGGAACATAAAGGCATACAGGTATTAGCTATCGGAAAAAACAAATGGATAATCCTATATTTTAACAATACAACAGATACACACAAATGTAAGCAACAGTTATTAGAACATGTTCTGGAACACAACATTATTATTATTACAAATAATAATACAGAAAACAAAATGCCTTCTGAAACATTATCTTCATTTTTAATGGAAATAGAAGCTTCAAATCAGATGATACTTTTAGATATTCTTCTGCATATCTCATCCAAGAATATTCATAACATATTCAATAAATATAGAGAGATAGAGTCTCTAAGAATCATCAAGTGAAACCACAAATACAACAGTATTATCTTCTCCTTCAAATCTATCAGAATAGATATTCATAAGATTTGGACAATATCAATAGAAGAGAATATGGCAAGAATCACTATACTAAAAAATTACCAAGAAATACTAGCAGGGTATAACAAAATAACTACTAGACTATATGGAATTGGAAAATCCACCTCAATATTCAGAATCATAAGTATAACAAAACATCTTAAGGTTAAAACAGTTCATATCCCAGTTAATAGTGGAACAGGAAAAAAAAAGAAATTTTGCCATTTTCAGATTCGAGAATCAGGAAGATCTAAATAGGGCATTATCTTCATATGTGGAATTGTTTGGATACAAAACCTGGTGAAGCACTAGAAATAATACAAAAGTGTATATGCAAAAAACTACACTATAAAAAAGCTTAGTCTCTTATATAAAAAGAGGAAAAGAAACTTCTTTAGATTACTTTAAACACTTAGATGCCTCTTTACCCTCTTCCAGCTTCATGGAGATAGAAGAAGAAGAAGAAGAGTTCCTAACAAACTATAGGCAGAAGAGTAAAAGAAAGAAAAGAAAACAGCCTATAAATACAAGGAGACAAGGGAAGAAACCTGCTAAAACAGACCCATGGTCTAAAGTTAGCACCATGTTAGATACCATTAACTCAAGACTAATGAAACTTGAAAGTAGAAGGAGTAATAGCAAAAAGTCCCACTACTTCTTCTAAAGACATCCTAGTCAAATTAACAACAAATGCTAAAGAGGAAAATTCATTGCAAGCTTCCTCTTCAGTACCAAATCAACTTTTACAATATAATACAGATAACGATGACTTAAACCAATCCAAAAATACAATCAACTTGTCAACTAACAATAAAATTAATACTTTTCTTACAGAACAAAAAAAGTCCTTTCTGAGTGACAACATATACTTAGGAACATATTAAATTAGGGGTATTATAAGAACTGTAGATCAAGAAATGCTGATTCAAAAAATATGGAAGAAAAAAATCAATGTTCTTGGATTAAGTAAAACTAAACTTACTATCAACAACCAAGTATTTGTATTTAGCAGCAGTAGAGACAAATACAAATGCTTTTCTAATTCTTGCTCAAATAATCTGAGAGGTGCAGGAATACTTTTACTGGTGCACAGAGATTTGGAAAAGTATATTATACAAGTGGACAAGATTGAAGGACACTTGAAGACAATTAACCTTCTCAGCAAAAAGTATAAAACATGGATAGCCCAAATATACCTTCCTTGTAATAAACAAAGAAGTATCAATATCCAAAAAAAAATACAAGTATTAATATAAAACAAAATCCAACAACATTATCAAGTTATAGTAATGGAAGATTTCAACGTAGTGTTAAACCCTAGATAGGATCATATAAGTATTAAAACAAACAATAACTTCTCTCTATCAAAAGATCCAGAAGTCCCAATATTTAATCACCTCTTAAATTGGAATCTTGTAGATCTTTACCAACTTTGGGAGAACCTTGAACCTTTCCATATCTGGAAAAATAGTGCAAGCTCAAGTAGAATAGACTATATCTGGAGCTCTATAGCAATAGCAAATAATATATTTCAACTGCAAAACCATAGCTTTGTGGAAATCACAAATAGCAATCATACCTTGTTGGACTTTAAAATAAC